TTATTCTTACTAGTTTTAAAAATGTTAACACATTGGCATTGTTTTGTTAATAGCCAGAGCTTTATGTTTAACTTTTAAAATGTTAACATGTCTGTAGTTTGGGTTTTGCATTGGCATTGTTTTGAAATTGTTTTAATAGCCAGAGTTTTGCTCTTGTTGCTTAAGTTTTACTTTCATTATAGTAGCGTAAAAATAAAAAAAGGGTGAGATGTAGGGAGCGGCTATAGGGTTAAGCCTCGATCTGACCTGTTAGCAAAGCCACAAACAAGTCCCAGCTTAGAGGGCACAGTCCTCTTATCATAATTAGGCTTGACCTTATGACGCTCCCTAGACCCTTCCTAGGTAGCTAATGGGCTGTAGGAGATGTAGCCAGTGCTGCCAAAACAAGTGAAACTCACAAGATCATTGTAACTATGGTGACCGAATACCTTGTTTACCTCTGGCTATAAAATAAAGGCTCAGCTTGCCTCTGGATCTCTCTCTGTGGCCTCAGCCAGGCACAGGAAGATCCACCTAGACCCGGCTTATTCTCTCTGTCATTTCTTCATCCATTCGCCGCCCTCACTCAGGCTTGTGAACCTTTGGCTGAGCTGGCTCGGCACACGCATGTCCTTGATGAAAATTAGTAGGTGACATCTGATTCTGCCCAGAGCTTCTGGCTCTCGGCTGCAGTGAGAGCAGTACTGAAGCACCTGAGCTTGTACAGGCAATTTCCACAGCAGTGAGAGCATCTCAAAAACAGAAAGAACTTGTTCCTCATGAAACCAGGCCTGCTCTTCTACAGAAATGAAAGGGGCAAAGAAATTTAATTTTTAAACGAATAGTCGCTCTCTCTCTCTCTCTCTCTCTCTCTCTATATATATATATATATATATGTATATATATATACACACACACACACGCACACATATATATTTTCCTTTTCAGCCAGTACAGGCCACTCCGTCATCTCTGAAGATGTTAGATGTGGGGAAGTGGCCAATTTTCTCCCTTTGTTCTGAGGAAGAGCTGCAGTTAATTCGTCAGGCCTGTGTCTTTGGAAGTGCTGGCAATGAAGTTTTATATACTACAGTGAATGATGAGGTAATTTTGAAGAAAAAATTCAACCACTTCTATTTTCAGTAATAAATTTACTAGACTGAAGACCTTAGGGGAACTAAGGAATTAAGGTTAAAAAAAAAAGTACAGAGAATAGATTCGTATTTATTATATAATAAAGCAGTTTTGTTTTAGGAGGACTATGCCTGTATGAAGGTAATTGTAGGTTTGTCAGAAGTAGAACTGCTTGAACTAACAGTGGTTTTCCCCACAGGTTTTTGTACTTGGCACAAACTGCTGTGGCTGTTTGGGCTTAGGTGACGTCCAGAGCACCATTGAACCTCGGAGACTGGATTCTTTAAGTGGCAAAAAGATAGCCTGCCTCAGCTATGGGAGTGGTCCACATATTGTTCTTGCGACATCAGGTAACCTAGGAACACAGTGTAGAATTTTAGCCCTTGCTTTATTTATTGAAAAACAAGAGTAGGACCATCCCCTAAACAGAGAACATTACTTTTTGATTAGACAAGAGTTTCTGGTCTGCCTTGTGAACTTGACTATGCTTTGGACAACATAAAATATGAACATATCTGAATATCGGAATAAAGTAATGGAGCAGGTGGAATCTAGCAATTATTGGCACTTTAGATATAAGAATGGCAGTTAAGCCCAGTAAGCCCCTTTTGTTTACACTTTACAAGTATAATTATTTTGCATTAAAATGGTGAACTCGCTCTAAACCAGTGGTTCTCAACCTGTGGGTCGCAACCCCTTTGGCGGTTGAACGACCCTTTCACAGGGGTCGCCTAAGGCCATCCTGCATATCAGATATTTACATTACGATTCATAACAGTAGCAACATTACAGTTATGAAGTAGCAACGAAAATAATTTTATGGTTGGGTCACAACATGAGGAAATGTATTTAAAGGGCCAGAAGGTTGAGAACCACTGCTCTAGACTTTGAATTTGAGATTCCTGATCTATGAACTGAAAGACTAAAGCCAGATTCCAGCATCCACTCCAACTCTTAGCATTCTGTGATTCTTATGTTAGTGACTGATGACTGTAGTTAGTAATATAAGGAATTAAGTATTCTTGTGGCTATTTCATGAATTCAGACTAATAAGACATTATAATTAAAACATAAGTTAGAGTTTTTCTTAAGCTAGGTATTCATTTTGTTAGTACTAGTATTCTTTAAACCGAAAATAAATTTTCTATTCTTTTATGTGCTTATTTCACATTAAAAAAAAATAACCTTTAGGGATTATTGGTTGCCAGTAATAGCAGGCTAAATTATTTAGATAATTTCTTCACTGAAAACAACTATTAAAAATATTAAAAATATTTTTCATGAGGCATCAAAGCACTGACAAGGCAAAAAGGAATTGTTAGATCAGATTTAGGAGAAAGTGTGAACTAAGAAGTCAGAGGGGAACTTGAAGCCATTTGGCCTTAAAGACATCTGCCTGTCCACTTGAATGGAGTTGTGGTCTAATGTATTCATGAGGTGAAGGGGTCATAAGTCAACACATTAGGCTGAGACCACAGAGGGCTACACTTTCAGGGCAAGGATGAGCCAGTTCTTCCATCTTACAGGACCGAACTAAAGAATTCCTTGGCTCTGAGCAAATTAGGAAGGAAAAAAAAAAGAAAACCTCTCCCTGAGAGATTGTAACCATAGATTTGTATTCACACCAGACTGGATGGTCCAAGAAATCTTAAGTCTTGAATTTATTAAAGAGATACCTTTAAGTACCTTCTGAAGTTGATGTAAATCCTTTCTTTAGGAAGGCACCTTCATTCTGGGCCTGAGGGAGTATGATGCCATTGAAAAATAATTTTCCAGTCGCAATTAGCAGCACATAGTCAAAGGCAACAAGGTACATAAGGAAACAGGCAGCATGAAGGAGAATCAGCAAAAAAAACCAGCAAAAACTGACTACTAAATATCAGATATTAGAATTACCAGATACCAGTGATAAGATGGCTGTATTTATTGTTTGAAAGAATAAAGCTACCTGCAGAGGTCATAAAAGATTTGAAAAAGAACTAGATGTACAGTATAATTATCCAAATGAAAAACTCAGTAGACAATTTAAGCTGCAGTTTGGACACAGCAAAAGACAAAATTAATAGACTAGAAGATAGATCAGAAATAATTATCTGGAATGTAGCACAAAGAGACAATATGGTAGAAAATATAGATGAAACAAGTATATACTGTATGATTTCATTTCTTTAAAGTTTAAAAACAGGACAAACAATTTTGTTATTCAGGATTTGTATGTGGAGGGCTTTGGGAGTGATCAAAGGTTATATTTTCTCACCTGAATGGTAGCACATGGGTATGTGTGTTTTATAATTATTTATGAAATTGTGCATATATATTTTATGAATGTTTATGAATGTGTATTATATTGTGCAATAAGTGATATAATAACAAAGATTAAAAATAACTTGGTGTTCACTTTATAGATAAGGAAGTTAAATTTTTTTACTTTCAATCTAATGCTTTTTTTTCTATTTATTCTATTAAAAGCAGCCTTTTTTCTGCCATTTATTAAGAGCCTATCTTCCAGCTATTATAATTGCATTTATTTAAATTTCATCTTGTTGCTTTGAAGTAGAATGTAGTTTATATTTTCAAGTGTATATTTTTACAGAATGAGTTTGGTGGAATAGGGAAGTTGATTCGCTTTTGCAACTTAATTTTTAGTTTCACTTGTAGAAGTGCATTATGTATTTTCATATGATGAAGCAGATATTTTGAAAGCTAATTATGTTTGTGTTTTGTTTTTATTGTTTTAGAAGGAGAAGTCTTTACCTGGGGTCATAATGCTTATAGCCAGCTGGGCAATGGGACAACTAATCATGGTTTGGTGCCCTGTCATATCTCTACTAATTTGTCCAACAAACAAGTGATTGAAGTTGCCTGTGGGTCTTACCATTCTTTGGTGCTAACATCTGATGGAGAAGTAAGAATAGTCAGCATAAATGTCATTGATTTTTTTTTCAGTAAAATTATATAGAAGGATGATCATTTAATTAAAATGACCACCTCCCTCAAATTTAGTTTTATTCTTGTTAGCAACTCATAGTCACAGTGTTTATATTATTTTTTACCTTCATGCAATAAAAAATGTCTGTTACTGCAAAATTCTGTATTGCTATTTTCAAAGGGGTTATTTACAAAAAGAAGAATTTCCAAATGCTGGAAAAGATGGCTGGTGCAAAGTAGATATTATTATAAATATTATATGATACTTGGTAATAATTACTACTGTTTGTATGGATAACACCAATAACCTAATTTTATAAATTAATACATTTTGAAAGAATGAATTTTACCAAAACTTCCCTGCCTGTGTTGTGACAGTTTATGGATAGCAACCACTTTGAGAGCAAAGATGAGGTGCCATACAAATATGTTAGTGTATAATTGGGATACTTTATAAATTAGTATATTGCATTAATTGATCTCTTCGTTCCAATAGGTATTTGCCTGGGGTTATAATAACTCTGGGCAGGTAGGATCTGGATCAACAGCTAATCAGCCGATCCCTCGAAGAGTCACTAGCGGCTTACAGAATAAAGTAGTTGTGAACATAGCGTGTGGGCAGATGTGCTCCATGGCGGTGGTGGACAATGGGGAGGTAAGAAGGTTATTTCATATTTCACTTAAGAAAACTGTTTGCCTTTTCAGTGTCATACCAACATGGCATGTTTCTCACACAGAGAACTTTCTGTCTTTTGTTTACATTGAGTCTCTCATTTTCTCTCAGGTTTATGTCTGGGGTTACAATGGAAATGGGCAGCTCGGACTTGGCAGTAGTGGCAACCAGTCCACCCCCTGTAGACTAACTTTGCAAGGTGTTCGTGTCCAGCGGGTATGTCTTCTATTGGTTTTTAAGTCTTTAGTGGCAAAGATACGAATGTATTAAAAACAGTTTCTATAGCAGGATGAAAAGTTTAGCTGCTTGGATATCTTCATTGAAGTAAAGGTTTAAGCTCTATTTCCTTGAATTAAGTTATAGTTATTCATTAGAAAATTTAAATTTCTAGGGCACTCTCTTAAACAGCTGTTGGAATATAAATTGTTAAAATCTTTTCCAAGGAAATTTTGAAAGTATATATCAAGAGGCTTAAAAATATTCAGACCCTTTGATCTCTAATTCTACTCCATTCTAAGGAACCAAAGAGAAAAGTCACTTACAGAATTAGTGGAGAAGATATGTTTACAAGGGTTTTTTATGATTTAGGAATAGTACTCTATGTAATGTTAAGTAAAAAAAGATAAAGAACTGCTTATACAATATGATCATTTAAAAAAGCTATCTGCATATCTTTGTATAACTCAAAAAAATGCCAAGCTTGAGATTACTTTCATACTTATACTTTTTTCACATTGAACATGTTAACTTTTATAATAAAAGAAGAAAATTCTTCTTAAAAAGTGACAGTGTCTGTTGCTTATTAACTTCACCCCCTTGGTCTCTGTGAGCATAATGAATGCCACATCGAAGGTAAATACTGGCCTCATGTCACTAAAGGACTCAGGGCGAGCTTACTGTAATTTTGGCCGCATTGGAACTAAGCTGGCTCTGGAGAGATGGAGAGATTGGTTAACTTAATGCTTGCTCTCTTCGAGGCTGCCTCTTCCCTTTTTTTTTTTTTTTTTTTTTTTTTTTTTT